TAATTCTGTGGAACGTAAGCCTATAAATGTAAAGACGTCAACTTGTTCATACAACTTCTCGGATAAGAAAGAAAGAAATAACTATAATATTTCCAAGATTCAAATAATAATACTTATTGATTGTAATTATTGTTTTGTGAAAAATACCTAAAATACCTAATTATAAAACTAATATACGCTCTTCTAATCAATAATATACAATGACAATATTTATGATCACCCGTATTATAGAGTTATCTGTATATAATATTACATTTTCATATTTGGATACTTAGTTAATTGGTTAATATTAAATACAACTGATCTATTGATATTGACCGTAACAAAACGCAAGAAATTATTAAGAATAACATTGAAAAAAAAAGCCGAAAGGAGTGATTTGAACCCCCAAAACCACCCCCGTGGATACGCCACTGACCCCGTAGATTAGAACATCTATAAGATGTAAAATATCCCGGTCTTAAAAATGAATTGGAAAAAAATGATCACTGGATTTGTTCGATGGCAATAGTGTCACCCAGAAACGATGCGGTGAATGAATTAAAGAAACTGATTTTACAAGGAATTCCCGGTAAAGTCAAACTGTATAAGTCACGATGTATAATATCGAGGATACAGTGCGCTATCTTCAATAATTTCTAAATTCTTTGTACCACTCTAGCCGATCCCCTCACAAACTTAAGTTTTATGTCGGCATTCCAATCATGATGAAACTTGAGCGCTCTCTACATGCGTAATGGCATAAAACTAGCGATAAAAGAGTTACTTGACAGTATAATCACGGTGACCATCATTACGGGGCCAGCAGTAGAACAACTTGCTTATGTTCCGCGCGTACCAGTGAGTCCGATGGTTTTGCGAATAACTTCCAGAAGGTTACCATTTCCTGTCAAAGTTTCATTTTCCCTCACCATAAATAAGTCCCGGGGTCAAACATAGATGTTCAGTACCAGTGGCGGCTCTCGGGGTTCATTGAATCTAGGGCACAACGATTTTCCTCCTTTTTAAGTATCTCAACTTTGAATTTACCAACAATTCTTCTAGATTTTTTAAATATAATAAAATTGTTTGTGTATAAAAAACCTTTTAATATACGCTTATGATATATGTTGTACAAGAAATAATAAAAAATCAAAAAATAAGAAAACTATGGTTTAAAAATAAATAATAAATATAATTATACAGTTGATCAGTAATATTTTTGAATTCCGAATCGATTTGTCTGTCTTTTTTTTTTTCATGAATACTTCGATGAATTTATTAAATTAAATTAAAAAATATTGAATAAATTAGGTATTGTAAATTTGTAACGTATAAAGAAGAGCACCGTCAATTTCCTAATCAAAAATCTAACCGTTAACAGAACTGTACAAATTTTATACAGTTAAATACATTTATTTTAAGTAAAAAGGCAGTCAAATAATACAATAAAATTATAATTTATTTTGAAATATAAATTTATTAGTGTTTTTAAATGAATATATGAATTGAATATCAAAATTTTAATTTCCGTTCTACCACCATGTAGTCTTTCGCGTATCTCTAATAATACACGTACCACAGTTTTAGAACCGCTGGTCTACAGCATATAATCAGTGTCGGCGCTATGATTTGCGAGGCCCTGTGTGAATTATAAACGTGAGGCCCTGTGCGATTGCACTTTCCGCATACCCTTCGCGCCATCACTGCGTACAATAGTACATATCATGATTTAGTACGTATATTATATGATGTTACTAACGAAGTACTATTTATGTGTGTTTGTGAGAAGAACGTCTATAACATATTTAATATGTTACTGTTTTTTTAGACCTTTTGGATTTCGCTGACGGAGAAAAAAAATAATTAAAAAAATACGCTAAATAAATTTTATTGCTGGAAATTTATTTTATTTTATTTATTATTTTATTGTCAACGCGGTAAGGAAATATGTCTCTGCGGTACACGTCATTGTCATACTCGTGTAGTGTATGTTCAACGAATCCTTTTAGGCCCACGATTGTTCTACGTAGGACTTGATCTCCTACCACGGATGCACCATTGTTGCCTCTGGAAACCACTTCAACCCATTCAGTGTGCGTACTGAACTCGATACGCTCGCCCTTCCGTACCGAAACTTTTGGGGCATGAAACCCCTAATCATAATTATCGCGGTACGATATTCGAAGGGTTTTTAATTACATTTTCGATGTACGATTACTTTCGTTTTTTTTCAAATAATCCAATACTTTCACGACGTCAATTACTATTGTTAGGATTATTATTTCTTTGTTTTTTTTTCATTATTTATATCAACAGAATGTCTTCGGAATTTCGACTTCTCGTTACATGTTTCTATGCTATTTAGATTTTATGTAAACAATACCTTAAAGTTGGTTTGTAGAACTTCCTCGACGTACGCAAGCAGAAATGATATTGCAACTTTTATTCCTTTTTTATTTATTTTATGATTTTTAATGGCTCGTCCTTGAAAAAGGTGTACACGCAAAAGTTCCGATTCATAAATATATATTTATATATTTCAACACATACTCGCCTACACCAAGAATTTGTGGCAATTTGAAAACAACATTATTATAATAATCACGTTTTTTGTTAAATAATTTATAAATTTAACCACAAACAAATATTCGTTCCGCTTTTTAATCGGTTTTATATACGACTGAGTAACTGCTACAACGGGTGACGATAAAATAATACGCTAGTTACATTTTGAAAAACTAAAATAAAATGTACGGTTAATAAAAGATGGAGAAAGGAAATAAAAGGTTTTCGTTTCAAATATTTCACATGCGTCACATTTGAATGAAATTAGGTATACTACTGTTGACAGCTCTCAGTGGACGCGGAAATAGTAATATATTTCTTTTATCGTTATGCCGTTATCGCCGTCGTCAGTTCGGGTTTTTTTTTTTTTTTATAATTATTCACACCCAATAAAACCAAGTTATTTATACGCCTCAAATACATACGTGTAATCATCAAAGTCTAAAGCGCACAAAATGTATGCACGTATTTAGTTATAAAATTTATTAAATATTAAGGTTATAGTAAATATAATTGAATTTAGTAAACGATAAACAGTATAATATTGAAGTATCTATGGAATTTTTTAAACAAATCTGGCCTAGTTCGTAAAGTTTATTAAAATTATCATTATACGGATGTGTAAGTTAAACTTTAAAACAACCTACATTTTAAGTCGACCTGAATTAATAGTACAATAACATCATTTTATTTAACGGCTTTTCGTTATTATTGATATATCACTTGAAATGTGAACTACATCAATTTAAAAAAAAAAAAAGAAAAATTAGAGGCGAAAAAAATGCAAATTGAAATTCATTCTAATATATTATTCCGTATTATTTGATATAAACAAAAAATGAAAAAATCTATTCAAATAAAAGTACTCGTTAATTTATAACGAAATGAAATAACATTGGCAAGTCTCGAAGATAATAAAAAGAATATACCGTTTTCTAACTTGATTGGAATTAGCTAAACTTTCACTTAATAATATCCATCGAAGCGATAAGCTTGAATTTTAAAGTAATATAGAATACAGACTACGCGGAAGGCTTGGAGATGACTTTTGTAAGAAACGATTAAAAAACATCAAACAATAGTATCAGAATATAAAATCTATACGATATATACAATTATAATCGATAAAGATAAAGTTAATGATAAAATATAATATCGATATAGTTAACCGGTTGCAAAAAAGTTGTTGTTATTTATTTTTATTGGATTTTGTTTTGGTTAGAACTTTTAAAACAAAAAAACTAAAAAACTAATATAACGATTATTATTTTATTTTATAATTTATAAATTTAATATTATTGCTATGGTTTTCGTTTCCATTTAACATACGCGAACTCCACATGGCAAAACCGTTGCACGATTTCTGAACATTTTTTCACCTGATTATTCATATTAAAATAAACAATACGAATTATACAACTTACTACGGAAGTAGAAATGTAATACCTTAAGTTTTTTTTTTTTTTTTTTTTTTTATTATTATTATTATTATTCAAAGTAAATGTTGGCCTATCTTCGAACCACCGGGAGATAGTAAAAGAGTAAAACATAATAACAATGAACTCGAGTTGTACTCATAGTTGAACTATTGAAATGTATACGTTCAATCGACCAGGACCAATTCATATGTGTTTGAACTTTGCGAATTCGTTTCGCATAAATTTCTACGCGTATTGCGGAGATGTTTGCGTGTAATAATTTATGCATTGAATAAATAAGTAATGAAAAAAAAAATCGATAGTAGTAATAATATAAGTTGGCGCAGTAGCAATGCAGTTATCGATTAGTGCTGCGGTGAAACACCACACGGCATTGCTAGTTTTTCGGATGGATGACTGCCCAATGTGTTAAAAAAAAATCACAAACGATCGAAACCATCTGATTTCAATAAACTTCTATTCTTAACAACTTCTCACCGATGACTTCTCGACAAATCAAATTTCATACGCGAAGGCATCCGAATTACTAACGCGAATGAATTTCCTACGAATAATAATAAAAACCAACTTTTTAAGCACCTTTCAAACTTATCGCAAACACTTTTGATCACTCCTCAATAACCTGACCTTTAAACACCAATAAACACTAAAAATGTCAACTGATAACACAACCGTAATAAAGATACCGTTCACGTTGACCTTTCGCTTCCAAATTTTCAGATCGCAGAAGAAACTTTCCATTCTAGTAACTCCGTAGCATTATCGCAATCCAAATCCTTAGAGTCATTCGACCGCACGTGACGAAGTTACACACCAACTGCGGCTGCGGCTCGTTCGCCAAGACCTCGAATAAAATATATTAAAATCGTTCTGTTACCGTTGCGCACGCAAACAATTCGTATTCGCGGACCAAGCACAAAAAAAAAATAAAAATAATAATTATAGGCACCACAAATACGCTTAAAAAAATAACAGTTTTCAAAATAATAATCGTACCGTTATGATGGCCCACAGGTACCGGAACGCATCAAGGCGATGAACTCGAGCGTGAAACTACTGCTGATCCTGCGGGAGCCGGTGATCAGGGCCATATCGGACTACACGCAGCTGCACAGCAACCCGATGGCCAACCGGAGCAGCCGGTCGTTCGAGCAGCTGGTGATCCGGCCGGACGGCACGGTCAACACCAATTACCGACCGATCGCCGTGTCCACGTACCACAACCACGTTTACCGGTGGCTGGACGTGTTCCCGCGGGACCAGCTGTTCGTGGTCAACGGCGACCGGCTCATCACCAATCCGGTGTCCGAGCTGAAGCGCATCGAGACGTTCCTGGGGCTGGAGCACCGGATCGGCGCGGACAACTTCTACTTCAACCGGACGAAAGGGTTCTACTGCCTGCGTTACGATTCGGTGGACAAGTGCCTGAAGGAGACCAAGGGACGCAAGCATCCGGACGTCCGTCCATCCGTGGTGTCCAAGCTCCGCGAGCACTTCGGTCACCACAACCAGAAGCTGTACGAAGTGCTGGGCCAGGACTTCGGGTGGCCGGAGAAGTGATTGTCACGTCAGCGATCAGGGGAGAAGGGGATCGATGGTGATAATTCGACGGTGTTTCCGTTTCATCGTTTTATTTGTACTTTTAACGTTTTACGATTTTTTTTTACAATTTTTAATTTTTTTTTTTTTTTTTTTTATATACTACAGGGAATAAATATATAATATAATAATACCGCGATGTCACAAAGGACATAGTCGCGATAAACCGTAACGCGCACTCGTTTGTACGCGCAATATTTTTCATTTTTTTTTTTCTTCCTTTTCTTCTTCTTCTTTCACCACGAAATACGTCGCGTAACGCGTCGCACTCGGGGCCCGTTCGTAAATAAATATATATGTGTATGTGTGTAACGAGAAGGGTTTTTAGGTTGGTTCCGGACGTTTCAATGGCACACGTTTATCAGGACAGCGCCACCGGTTTTCTCCCGCGTTTCAACGCGCAACCGATCGGATATTTGAACTCCTCGATCCGCGAACACCGATACAAAACAATCGACACCGGTCGTGAGAAAAAAAATAAAAAACAAATAAACGTATGAATCTTCGAGTGACACAAACCGATATATATGTATGGAAAAATCTTACACGCGACAATAACGATAAAACCAACACGTAAAAACCTGTAGAAAAGCCAACGTTTCGATATACCGGTGAGGTCATCGTGTGTTTTGTTCCGGCAGTTTTTCAAACCGAGTGTTTCGTTAGTTCGCGTCAGTTTCAGCCCGGATCGGATTCGTACGTCTCACGGACCGGGTCCCGGACCCGCGATCCCTTTCGTCCGACAAACCCCGGTGCTCTTTTGCGCCTAACCGCCCCGCCACGTTTCCCGTGAAAACATGTCGTCACGCGACCCGAAAACGGTGCGATATCCGATCTCGGTCGGCCGAGAAATAAAAACACCGCCGAACAACCATTGTCGCCATATCGAATACCGGAAATAACTCTTTACAACCCGACAGATCTGTACGCACCTCGACGCGTTCATAGCATAGTACAAATGCGTAAACGGTAAGACACATCCTCTAACCGTTTACCAAAATAACCTCGGTCAAGGAGATATCATCGGCGCTAGCGGTCGAATGTAGCCGATTACCGTCACATTATTGTTAACAAATGCCGATCAGCAATAATCCGTAACATTAAATTCTCGTCGTTTCCGACGATATGCGCTCGATTCGAATTTTACACGCACACACACACACATATATATATATATATACACACGTTTATACATATTTGTTATGTACAATGTCGCGTTGAACGCGCGTTTCGTTCGTTTGTTCGCTATTATATTATATAATGTATTTACCTACTGTTTTTTGATTTCGTTTTTAACGTTACGAAACCGATCATATCAACTGAATAGACTTTTTTTCGAGTAATTATTAAGCATATACATTTATATACATATATATATATTATTATTATTATTATTATCATTACTGTTGTACTGTAATGTTGTATTTTAAGGTAACCATAAACATATCACAACGTGTTTCCATCGTAGCGTATTCATAATTCGTGTACTATTGTCGTGTTACGATTGCGTTCGCGTTTAAAACTATCGTGAAACCTGTCTGCACCACGTGCGTTATGAATAATGTCCGCGGTACGGGCAGAAGTCGTACAGGATATCAGCCGCGCAGGATTCCGTTCCTCGACCTCGGGGTTTTGCACGAACATTACTGAAAACGTAACCAAATCCGCGTGACCATTAGCGGTTGGAATGCGCAGTGTTCGGACGACGGTTTTTTTTTTTTTTTTTCATTTTTTTTCTTCCCGTCAAACGATCTACGCACTCCGCCGCGGCCTCGAGCGCCGGAATCCTCGCGGCCCCGTTTTGTACTCCGTAATTTATACATATCATCGTCGTATTGTTATCAATTATTATCGTATGCATATCAAATATCGTGATAACGATTTGGCCCAAATGTAAACAATGTCTACCGAACGAAAACATATCATATTTTGTCGAACGTTATAACATTGTGTATTATTATTATCATTATTATTACCTCTATTATTAATATTATTAATTTTACTATTGAATTTTATGTATTTTGTTTTCGTTTTTGTACCGTTATTGTAAACTACATGTATTGTGTAATAGTCGAATTAGATAAAATTAATAAATTTGCTTACACGTACGTATGTATTAAGGATATATGTATTATGTATCAAGGATTATGGTGGTTGATGAGGGAAAACCTATTCGCGGTACAACACACACACATACACAGTTATATTAATTTATCAAAATATTATGAGACTACCACGGCCATGATTGTATGCGTTAAACGAACGGTTTTCTTTTTCATTTCCAAACGTTCTTTTTTATTGTTACAATAAACACCACAACCATCGCAAATCTTTCACATAACTGACGAATTTTTCTTTCACGCAAGTTTTCGTTACGGACCGGTTAAGCATAGCGCTTTAAGGAAACGCATGTTGTTACAAAAACTTATGGACTTATTCCACTATTATTTAATAAAAATTCAGTATCTTTTATCGATGGTTCAATCGCATTTAAAATTATATAAATTGATAACTTCTAGCTCGAGTCAGATACAGAAATGGATGAAAAATGTATTACTTCTTTAATCTTAGAAACAATGTAACATTCTTCTCAAAAATACGATTCTGAGTGAAAGAGGTCAGTTGGATCGGTTTATATTTCTAAAGATGGTCGATCATATAAAAGGACCAAATGTTCTTTACGGGGAAGGTAGAACTTTAAATGATGTTCCAGCATTTGCAAAAATAAAAAGTACATCTAAAACTTATGAAAATTAAAAAGCATAAAAATTTAAAATTCTATAAAGTTATGACTACAAAATGTAGATTTTTTTGGCTTTCTATCGTTTTATTCTAATTCAATATTCAAACTATACTTATTTTTATTCTTTTAATATATTAATGGTTTTCATTTATCAGTAATAGATGCGTACGAGAAACTTTTTATAGTATGTTTAAAATTTTCGAGAAAAAACATACAATTTCAACTTTTTATAATAGTTAAAAAAAAATTTTTGTAAATTATATTATCTATAAAAAAACTGTTATATAAACAACAAGTAAAATTTCTAATCTGTAAGCATATTATAATTTGAATAATGATGAAAACTAAAATTTAATTTTTTCCTCACCCGATGTAATGCAAATGTTGTTGTGTTTTTTTTTGACTTTTTGTTAGGTTTTTACAAAAAATTAAGAAAACTGTTGAGAAATTCGTAAAATGATCCCTTTCGAAGTAACAACTAGACAACATATCGTATTAGATATATTTTGTGAATATGATGTTGGAGTAATCCTTGTGCTCGAAGTCTTGTACACAGAGCCAAAAATAAAAAGTACTTGAAAACATAAAGGCGATTTTATTAGTGAATAATTGAAATCGTTAGAATTTAAGATATTTCCAATTTTTCATCAGTTTTTCTTTTTTCAATTATTTGGAAAACTATTAAGAAATAAAAAAAATCACTCATACACCGGTGTATGACCATTGTATAAATAATACATTTTTCATTTCATTCAGAATCTAAAAAAGAAAAAAGAGAAACAGAACAAGAAATATCAGATAAAATATTTTTTGCTTCACTACTGCAATAGCTGATTTCCACCGACTTAAGTTTATGTTCTCAAAGTCCAATTATAAAAGTTCTCTTTACCCTACATGACATGCAATGTTCCGTAGAAACAACTAATTGGAAAAAAACCGTATTTCAACTGTAGTTTGAATGGCTGTAGCCTATTTGTGCCCCAGAGTCGTACATTTTCGCCCCCAGGGATGTAGACAGATGCGCTCGAAAGATAAGGTACTACCTACCAATTTATAGCCCATACGCGCCCTTTCGCATACAACCTTGCCATTATGATTTAAAATATAGATTATTTTTTTCATGATAAATACTTAAATTAAGTAGATTAGTATAATATAATATTATAGTACTTAAATAATAATTGTCTAAATAATATAGTTTAAATTTTATAATTTTTTCAACATTTTGGGTTTAAAAAAATTAGTCAATATGACAATAACAAGTAACTCGATTATTTTCACTCGATTACGCTCATCACTATGTAAATAGTTTTAACTTTAAAAGAGAAACAAATAGTATGGCTTGTATTCCAGAATACAATTTGGCAATGTTGCACGGGTTTACACATTTTTATTAAAAATATTTTGGACGCAAATGGGTTTTAAAAAAGATGTGATGGGTGCAAATTGTTTTTACCGTTTTGAGTCGAGCCATTCACTATGGCCTCCAACACGCGGAACAGTCTAAAAAACCGATATACAACAGCTATAACCTATACTACTATACTATACATAAAATTTTTGGGATAAACAGTTTAATTTTAGTTTGCATAGGAATAAAAATAAAAATAATTCTTATTATTAAAATAGTTTTTTCAAAAAAATATTTCCACCTTAAAGAGCTATAATTATTTTACATCGGATGAAGGGTATGTCAATTAGAAATAGTTTGAAAAGCAATATAGTAGGTACGTGCAGGGGCGCAATTTTCAATGAAAAAACTGGGGGTGCCACTATCTTTTTCATGTTCCTTAATGGTTGTAAACCGTACAATTCAACAGTTACTAAAATATTTGGTAAATAAATGAATACTTCTCAATTTAAATTGTTCACTTTGATTTTATATTTTTATTGTGCGTATAACGAATTACCTGTCTGTAAACACAAATGTCTTATCACATGATCACTTTTAGATTCTGACTGAAGCGAAGGATATTATGGTTTTATAATAATGTTTGTATATTATTTGTTAAGCACTTTTTCGGATAGAAATACTGGTCCAAAATTTTTTTTAGGACCTTTTTTAGATTTTAAATTGGCATGCAGTGGTACTTTAGATTGATCATTTTTTTTTAAATCTTAATATTTTTTTTAGATGTGAGGAAAAAACTTTCTTAAAATGGTAAAAATTCGCACTGCGAAATATTTTCGTATTGTATAAAAATTTATTTATTTATACAAAGAAACTTACAAACTTTTATGTTTTTCTATACATAATGAGTAATGAGTATTTAAATGTAAATTAATGTAAACACATTTAGAGGTGATAATTTCGAAAATGGAGGTGCTAAGCACACTCAAGCCTCCCCCCCAAATTACACCTATTGGTACGTGTTCAAAAATGCGATGTGATATTTTTCCATTCAATCACTAACCGACTTATAAAGAAAAAAAATGCTATAATTTTTCCAGTTTTAAAGTAGTTGAACACAAAGATTTTTGTAGGAGACTCAGTAAATCCGGAAAATAAAAAAAAAAAAAACACATTTTATCTTTGCAGTAAAATCCATTTTCTATAGTTTTGATCAAAATGAATACTAATGATTTCGTTTCCAAGTACATCCTGCAAAACCTCGGATTATGTGAAATAAAATGTCATAGAACTGCTTTTACGAAACGAACGCGTATAACTAGGCCTCTAGTATATTTTGTTCAAAACGATAAACCAAGACAAAATCCTAATGATGTTATTATATCATACTGTGATCGTGTGCGTCCGATTATGCATAGGGTGTGTACTACTCAAACGAAGAAATTATTACTATTTTTCCGACAGACACCCGACTCGTTAAATGCTCTATATATTTACATAACACACATATTATATTCCAATTAATAACGTTTTGTACCGAATACTTATGGTTCAATTCACTATTGGATGCGAGTTTTTTTTTTTTTACTCTTTTCTCACTTTCTACATTTGTCTCCTTTTCTCTCTCTCCGACATACACACACACACACACACACACACACACACACACACACACACACACATACACACAACCATACACACAACCATAAAATAGTATAAAATCGTGTCAATTGTTTCGGAAACTAAATAAAAAAATAAAGGATAATAGAACCCTTCTCATACCAATAATAGACACAAGAGCACAACACTAGGACACGAATAATATTAGCCAAAATACTTAGTAATACAACCAGTGGAATTGGAACTTTGAAAAAATTTTCAAAAGGATAGCCAAAATTATTGAACTCCGTAGAGTAGAGAACAAAACTATTATACTCAGAGCCCGAAACAGACGCATAAAGTGACACAAAATTGGAACTGTAAAACGAAGAAAGTGATAGGATCAATAAAAACACGTTTCATAAGGAAAATTCATAGAGTAGATACTTGTATTGTTAAATACATATGATTTCAGGAGACCCACTTATTAATTTAAGTGTTAATTTTGGGCTTCGACAGATTTCTATAGCAAAAAACACATGTGCGGGTTGTACCATTCAAAATTCCCCCTCTATTATATAACACTTACAAATCAATATTATTTATATGACACTGGTACTATAAATACCTAAAATAAATACAAGTAAAAGCTAAAAATATTTTACTACAGCAATATGAAACAACTTAAAATGAAAAACACTTATTGGATAGATCATTAGTTGATAGATTTAGTTGATCATTTTTAGATTCAGGAAAAACACCTGGATACCACTCTTGGTTGGTGGCTTTTTTCATGCACCTTACTATGTCGTTGTTTTTCTTTAAATCATAACAATACAGCTTCACAAAATTCCATTGGAACACGTGTTTTTCGGAACAATATGCAATATCCCACTAAAGTGCATGATATCAAACAAATTCTTAACATTCAATATTTGTATAAAATTCAAAAACTGATAATGATTTTGAAATAAATATTATAATAAAATTGTGTTAGAATTCCTAAATATTTGTTATTACTTATTTCTACGTTCAAAAATAAAAACACGTTATAAAATACTTGGGACACACATTTGTCGTTCAGGGAACACACTTTGATTTTCAGTGGACACAGTATTTTAGTCCCTGTTGTTTACAATGTATATTTGATCATGATTAATAATTAATGTTTTTGGTTTACAATAATCGCGATTAAAAAATATTGCTTAAATTGTGTTAACATTTTGATATATAACTTAAATTTTGATTGCGTCTGCTTGTACAAGACTATGTAGAGCATATGCACTTTTCATAGCTTTATCAATTATAGAAACTAACTACTAACGAAGCATTAGTAAACCGAAACCAATAAAAACTAGAATAAGATTTAATTTACCACGAGAAAATGTGGTGTACCTGTATTAATGACTGTAAAAAAAGATATGTTGAAAGAAATATGTGTGTTTGAAGTAGTAAAATATTTAAAAGAGTTGACCGCCGTAATGCAGCAAATGTTAAATTTAAAAATGAAAATTTACAAAATATATATTTGATGTATTTTAATTCATTCATCGGTGATTATTTGTCACTTTTTAAAAATTATTATCAGATAAAAAATACCTCATAAGGGACATTACAAAACCAGCAAAAAAAAAATAATCTTTCAACTGTTGCAGTAGAATACACATCTGTATTGTACTTTACAAATAAATTTGTGATTACAGATTATTTATTTAAAGAAACCAAAGGTATATTTTTATCATTTAAATATCGCAATAATTCTAAGTTAACTTTATTTTTTTAACTATCTGTTGATGGACCTTGTCTTGATCCTGAAGATGAGAATATAAAAAAGTTATGTTCTTCTGATACATCAGAAAAATGTAATTTGTCTGAACTTTCAAAATGTTCAAACATATTTATACATAGATTTTGAATACGTATTTTAATAGACTCGTCTAAATTACCAAGAATCCATTTTAATTTAAACATTGGATGAAAATATGTAACTAAAATAGCATAATTCATATTACATAAAAGATTGAAAAATCAATTTTTCTTAGAAAAATATCTGTTTTCTAATTTAGAAATCGTTGGCTCAATACAAATTGAAAGATAATGAAAATGATTTTCTTTCAATAATTCTAGTCGAAATTTGAATGAAAACAAGTTGGGCAAAAGTTAACCGTAACAGCAATTGTTTTTAAATTGTAAAAAATCCAATGAATTAGAAATAGGTTTCAATAAGTTTAAAGATCTTTCTAAGAATTGAAAATCGTAATCTTAAAATAATACAATACTTAAATTGAGTTTCTTTAGAACAAACATTCAATAATCGAATTAATTGTCTTTATAACTAACAATTAAAGTAACTTATATTTCTTTTAATTACAAGTTACTACCGAAAATATATCTAAATACAATGTACAAGTTACAAATGTAACTCGATTACGTAACTCAGATACACGTATTTCAGTTACTGTTCAACCCTGATCACAACAAAATCGATTTTGATATATAAAAAGAAAATACTATAAACGTAGGATCCTTTAGATATGAAGGTATCGTTTATTGGCCCTAATCGCCGAGCTTATCACTGATTCTACTGCGATGGGTGCACACCACAAGAGATATAGCTACATTGGTCGGGGCACAAGGGAAGGACGTCGAGTTACGCGGGAAACATCACAGGACACCGACGGTTTTGTTACTGCTCGCTCGGTTCTACTGCGTCCTTCGCAAGACTGAAATCCCGTTCACCGTGTTTCCCCCGACTGAGCCCTTTGAACGGTGTCGTACGGAACGCAGTTCCTTGGGGTCAGTGGTCGTGCCCTGTTACCGATCACGGTCAAACCCTGCAAGGGGTTTCAGGTGACGAATCAAACCACTTGCTCCGAGCACCAGCAAACTCTTGAACGCACCGCCGTCGGAACCAGGCGGGAGGGTTGATCACGGGTTCAGGACAACCAACGTGCCAGGAAAGAAACGATTCCGTTCACTGTTGTCCTCGGAGACACTGTTGTTCATCGCGACACATCACCGAAAGCTTTTGGTCGGGCCGAACGGATTATTCTGATTCTCCTAACCATATAATAACAGACGACATAATCATGTATTTATAATACGTATATTTACACTTCGTTTATTTTTATTACACAAAAGAAATATGGTTTATTTCCTAGAAAAAAAAAGTATGTGGAAAAATCCAAAAAAATCATAAAAGTAGGAACATAAATTTGACAAATATTATTTTACAATAATTCGCACTTGACGCGTATCATTACAATTAAAATACTTTTTCGTAATTAACTAGTATAGAACTTTTTTTTCTATATAATAATAATAATAATAATCATATATTTATATTAATATAATTAAAAAATCTAAATTATGTTCTAGATTAAATTATTTTCTCTTAGTAAGAGAAAGAGAGAGAAGAAGAGAGATAGATAGAGGCAAAAATAAATAAGTAATAATTATACAATAATAAAAATTTGGTATCTTCAGCGTTCTACTACTCGGACGACAATGCGATACGAAAAGAACATTATTCTCTCTCGGTACCCGCTCGAAGCGTGTCGCGTAGCATTGAAGCTTTACAGTTTAATATACATAATATATAATAAAATAATATTATTAAACGAGTACAAACATTCATCGCGGTCTGGAGTCACGGAAACGTTACTGTACAAATAAATTAAGTCATAAAAAAAGCGTACAAAACAAATAAATAAAAAAGATTTTTTTTTATAAACGCAAAAAATTACTCGATAATTGTTTTGCGGTCGTAAAAAAAAAAAAAAAAAAATAATAGAAAATAACATTGTACGCATTACTACATACCGGCGTTTTAGGAAAAATAACATAACAGGCCGGGCTGATGTCTGCTGTCGCGTGGGTGTAATCGAACGTTCACGTCGGTCGATGGAAAATAAATAAATAAATAAATAAAACCATATAAAACGGCGCACATAAAGGGATGTACAACAATAAATGGATCGATCGCCATAACGGGCGTGTCGCCGAGCCGGAACTCGCCGTAGCGTCTTAAAAGTTAAGTCTGTCGTTTATTATTATAATTATTATTACTACAATACAACTATAGTTACACTATTTTTTTTAAAATTTTTTTTCATGTAGACGTTGCTTATGAACGAAATTCGGCTGTTCGAGTAAAATACTGTTTCGTCAGGAGTTAAGTGAGAGGTCCAACAGTAATTTTTCGGTGGAAAACGCCTGGTCGCGATCTGAAACAATTTTTACAAATTTAACAAATTTTATTTCGTCGCGAAATATAAAATTATTTATCTTTTCTTTATTTTATTTTTTTTTTTCGTCAGTATACATAATTATTGCAATAGACACTTTGTTTTCGACATTAATAAGCATGCGCGAATGATAAAAAGAGAACCATCTAAAGATCCAATCGATCAACACACAAGCCGCTCTTTTCGATCATTTGACTTCGTTTATAACTTCGAGGAAAACATGCGAATGCACATGTACATGTACATGGTTTTGAATTGGATAAATTTGCAGCTCGACGGTTTGTGTAGTTCATTCGGTTTGATGCGATAAACGATGGAAGCCACGACGCCCTAACTCAGCGGCGGATCCAGGATTTCATTTTAGGTAAGCTCTCATAGTCAAAAATGTAGTGATACTTTTAGGGTGTTATTTTTTTATTCATTGACATAATAATTGTACAGTTTAAACTTGAGTTATAGTTTCCATGTTGTTTTTAAAAACCTTCGAACCCATATTTAATTTGGATCTAAAGTAATTTCCTATTCAAATCCACTCGATTCTTTAGCTGCACACTCAATTACTTACATATATTTACTATAGATTTTAAAAAAAAACCTAGCATAGGGCAAGGCCTTCGCCCTCCTTCCATAAAATCCAACACTGCTCGAGCGTATGGTTATCGTTAAAATATAGTCTAACACGCTTTTATTTCGTTCGTGTGTGTAATGTTAAAAAAGTAATTCTAACCTTACACACTATACGATGTGTAAGTTAGCATAATATGATAGATTTGACGAGTACGTTTGATTACAGTGACTTAACGTAGAGTCGAGTAAATCGTCGAACTGCTGTCTGACGGTTTTCATACACGTATACAAGAAATTGATTCACCACCAAAAGAACTGGTAATAACTGTATGTTACGTAGTGCAGCTGGTGAAATCAATACAGTTGATGCGGAACGCGTGTCGATAATATTCTAATTGAAACTTATGCGACGTGAACGAAAAAAAAAAATCGCTTGTCGAAAGCGATTTTTATCAATTTGTCAGGTAATGTAGGTAAATTAATACATTATTGTACATGCGAACGGGTGGATAAAAACGCGTAATTAATATTCAAATTTAGACGTTATGTAAGAAAAAAAAATATTAAGAAAAATTAAATAAATAAACATTTATTTAGTTTTTTCCTTATATATATACGTAGGTGCACGGCAGATGAAGTTTACAGATAATGTGCCTAACGTCATTAAACCGTAAAAATCCTTATTAAGTTAAATTCTTTTGATGTTTGATCACGTAACGTTATCTGATCTCGGTATCTCGAACGCAGGAAGATTTATGTAATAACATCTTGTAAACAACATTATTTAATTTCTACGCGACCGTGTACACGTACAAATTAACATAAGGGATATCCACCCCTCCCGGTACATCATAATTATTACCGTATGATTTATTAAGTGGTTTTTTTCTATTTTTTTTTTTTTTCATCTGATGTACACTGTACACGTACTATGTTTACATAATACATGCTTTGTTAATTTCCAACATTAAATGTTAATCACGTCTAAACGTTAACGCAATGTAATGAACGACTAATTATTTTAACGTTCTTACGTTACATCTCGTTGCGGTTTCGATTTTAATCTACGGGAACGTGTACGTATTATCGCTCGAAAATGTTAGGTTTTCGTTTTTTGTCGTGCGTTCATCGAACGTATCCGTGGTGTGCGGTCATCGAGGAGACACGTCCTTCCACCTCGAACGTATATCCTCGACTGGAAAAGAGATTCTGAAATGTAGTTATAATATTTATAGGGCTCGCCGACGTTCACAAAACGTGTTTCTGATCTCGATATCGAAGGGGTCCGAACACGGTTTACGTACGGTTTTACGACTCGCGAAAAAAACTAGAACCCGACGTACCGGTGTTGGATTATGGTTTTCAATCGAGGTGAAAAAACTCTTCGCCAATAGACCGTTTGATCGTGTTGCGTTTACATTTCGAAAAATGTCGAAAAATAAACTAATAGCTCTGCATCGTTCGAGTTGACGGCGTACCCATGCGCAGTGCGTACCGTGCGGAGAATAAGATACACCCCAACGGCTCTCGGCCACTTCGAACCCGCGTGACCGCCGCAAAAACATATCCGACCGAGTCTCCGCCCCTGCAGAAACTTTGTCCGTCTGAACGCTAAGACTGCGGACGGCAATTTTACCAACGCGCATTCGTTATTTATTTATTTTTTTTTTTTTTGCTTTTTACGCGCGCATATATTACGACGTCGAGTATACATACTAACCGTTTTGACCGGTCAGTCGAACGCGCGGCAACCACCGCAAAGTTGAAGGTGTACAAAAATAATGACTAGTAACAACGAACAAGCGGAGTCTACACGGGGTGGATGTGATGACGCGGGTCAGTAAGTGTGGCATCCGGTCATGGTCCTCCAGTCCGGCAGCGACACTCCCAGGCGACGGCAGTTGTGCGCGTACGCGGTCATCGCCTCGCAATAACACTTCCGGCCGGGAGGACACTCGCACATGTCCGTCAGGCAGGATCTGTAACACAGTAAGGAAACGCGCACGTATTAGTCACGGTATTATATTAGTACGACCCGAATTGAGTAATAGGATAAATCAAAAGGGTAGTTGACTTTATTTAATACGGGCACCTGACAAATATATGATTTTCCTTGTAGAACGATTGCATTTCTACTGAGCATTTGAAATTTGCGTAATTTATAAACCATACTAACCTAGTACCTAATAAATAAATATTATTGAAGTTTACAATATTTGATACTTCGATGATTGATTAATCTATGAAATTTAAATTTAAATAACGGTGTACGTATAACGGAAAAATCCGTTTTTTTTTTCTTGATATTTTATCACGCAATGGTAAAAATTCTAAAATATCAATATACAATTTATTTGGTGTGGGGAGTAAGTATTATAATCCAAATAAATTTCATAAAACAAATTTTTTAGTGTGTTTGGGCAGTAGGTAACAATCCTTAGAAATAAGTCCTGGTATAAGTCACGATCGACATTGCTTAGAAGACAACGTATGCATACGATCGCGAACAGATATAATATTCGGGCGTGCGTAGGTATGTCTTGGACGACGGTTATTGAAGGGAACACAAAACGATTGGAATATTATCGCGCGTTTTCGTGTAGCTGTGTGTGTTGTGATGAAAATCCAGTCCGAACGCATAAACCCAATTGTACACACCGACAAATACCGATTATAGCACTGCTCTTACAGTTTCGACACCTGCAGCAGACGAACGCTGCGCAAAGACCAACGCAAACACGTTTCAGATCAGAGCGATAACCGAATTTCAATCGTAATGAAATCATCAACACTTATTTACACTCCGTTTGATACCCAGTGAATGCATCGAGACCGAGAGAACATCGAACTTTGGTGACAACGGTTTCACGGAGTGCCTTGGAGTGCTACACGACGATCCCTGACGGAGGTATTGCGTTAACTCTGGTTTTATCGGGATTTTCGAAAGACCAGGTTCCTGCTGTAACGTACCCACCTAACATTGAGACTTATCGATCGAGCACAACCTATGCAGGCAAAATTAACGGATAGACATATTCGCGAGACCTTCTTGTGATAATCGGAGAAGTGTTGAACAATGCGAAAAATGTTTTCGGAAGCTTTTGTCTTTAAACGGAATATTTTGACATGACTAGTGTACGATGTATCCACATTAATGATAATTTATATTCAAACACCATAATAATTTTGAATTATCAACAAAAAAAACAAATGTATGTGTGTGAAATTTTTCGTTAAAGTGAACACAAATAATATATAATAATAATAATAATATATACGAATAATAAATGCCCAGAAGGTCAGTAAAACGATTTTTTTGGTAATGTTATTATAACTTTCTACCGAATTGTAGTTTTTCGGAAATCTGGTTATGTTATATTATTATTACACCAAAGTAGTGCACTTCAGTTTTGTTTATTTTTTCTATAGATCGGTGCATATTCTTATGCAATCACGTCAAGTATACATTAAAATATAGACAATATTATTTGAATAGGTTTCATTATTAAAATGTTGTTTTATTTTTTTCCACACATTTGGTTTAGAATTATTTTCACGACTTATCGTATTAAATATTTTGATGCTATATTCACAGCAGCAAACATTTATATGCGCTGTACCATATGGCACAATGTGAAGGTATGCTGTACTCGTGGGCGCATTGCGCGAACGGTTTAATGCGGTTTCAAACAGTATATTTATACATAATTATATCTATGTGGTGTACTGACTTGAAAAAGTTGACCGGGTTCAGCTTTTTGTGACACGCGACAAACATGCGCTGCCGGAGTGGCTTGCACATACGCTCTCGGATCCTGGGGCCTTTCCGAGAACACGGGGATGACTGCACCACCGGTTTCGGCGATCGGCTGCACGCGTTCTTTCCGCCTACGCGCCAGGACGATCCAAAAACTTGCGGATCCAACACCACTTGGCCGTTCTTAGTAGTCATATCGTCCCTGGGCACAGAGTTGAAGTTGCCGCATAATCCGCACAAACTACCTGCAATTCCGAACGCAACGTTTACAAAGACGAAACAAGACGAGCCCACGGGCCTGCGACCCCATGATAAATATCGATATTGCGTTCATGTATACGTATTGATTACGAAATCATAATTGAAACGACGTGTTAAAAAAGAAACATTACGAAGCACCACGTTGGCACCCTCCAAGCGATTGTGCATGGTTAGGGTAGAAATGGTTTCGACGGAAACTCGAAAATTTAATGTTTCCGAATATTCTCGAAACGATAAAACTACTATCCTTAATGTGCGAAACACGCAGATTCAATACAAATTACAAAGGTTGAGAGGGTACGTATCGGTCGTCGATTTGTTTCGAATTCCTCACCTTTGTACCGCGATGGGACGGAAACTTCCAGGAATCCTCGTCCGTCCCACACGACGGACACACCGATCCTGGTCTCCACCAGCACGGTATCGTTCGTGTTGGATATAGTCAGATCGTTACTTCTCTTGTACGGCACGGACACTCTTTGCCCGTTGATCTTGACCCGCCTGTTGTCGCCCAGGTTCACTTTCAAATTTCCAATCTAAGCGTGGAAAAACACGAAAACCCACGTTTGAGTACAATACGTCCACATACGTGTTATAATGTGATATACAGTTATGGCCGCACAGTTCTACGGTAAATACAACAATAAAAATAATGATGTCAACGAAATGTTACCCGAAGTGAGATCGTTTTGGTCCACGCAGAGTTCTTCGAGTTCCTCGCGTCGTTGGTCACCCGGATGCTGAACGACCGACCGACGCAGTCGGCGCTCAACAGATATTTGCACGGTCCCTGGAAGCTGAAGAATTTCCCGTCGAACGTCCTGTAATGCGGGTCGCCGAACACCGTGCACACTCCGTCCACTAAAACGATGATCGACGACAATTATTATTATTGAAATCGCACGGTGCGCACGTGAACGTCTTGTCGAAACGCGTTACGCGAAATCGAAAATGCGCAACTGTACACGAACATAGTCCGCGCGTAGTGCGCATTATCTCGTAAAACACTTCAATCTGTATCGCATTGTATCGATTCGATCGTTTTCGGGCGCAAATGTACGGGGCGAAATTAAAAAAAAAAAAAAAAAAACCGACCATCAAACGATCACTCCGTTGAAACCGCATAACAGCGGAAGCACGAAGTACAGTGTCGTCGACGTTCGTGATAATAATCGTAACGCAATCGTTTGTAACTCACTTGGTACACAGCGCGGGCAACACGAACCCGGGACGGTTCGCAGTTTCATGTTGGCCGGGCACGACGAGGAGATGGACGGGCACAACTCTTGGGCGCACTGCACTTGACCGCGGACGCACAGGCACGATTTGCATTCGTCGACCTTCCAGCTGTCACCGTTCTGACGAAACACAGAAAAAAATAAATAAATAAATGTTAATCACACACACACACACACACCGATTTTATAACGTATTATGTTGTAGTGGACGCGGTGGCACACACAGATGTAATAATGTTACACACAGCAGAGTGCACTCGTAGGACTCGCGGATTAAGGTTCAGTCGTTTGTAAGACTGAAAATCATCCGCAGCAGTAAGGACGAGTCGTAACGGATTAATGAAAAAATTCGATTATAAAGCTCAAACGTTGCTCCGCGAGAACTTCTTTAATTTCGAAAAAAAAGTGGACAATTTTCGTAGTTTCGAAATGGATGAGTCTTAAGGAAGTTATTCGTGTTTGGATTTCATTCAATCGCGCGCTCACCGTGTAAATCTTGCCGTTATCCTTGCACGTCTCGCTCTTGTCCACGGCCGACCGAGGGCACTGCGGGCAGCACTGGTTGTGCGACGAGAACGTCTGCTTCTCCACGGGGCAGTCCAGCGGCGGGCACGTCTCGCGCTTGCACACCACCGTCGAGTTGGCGCAAGTGCACTCCGTGCACCGGTCCGGGTGCGTCTCCTGGCCGGACGGCGTAATCTTGTCGCCCAGCAAGCAAGCTCCTCGTGGCGGGTCCATTAGTTTCCTGCTCTTTCCTGCAAGGAAAAAAGTAGAAAAAAGTTACTACCGTTATAGTTTACCGCGTTTACGGTTCCGTAGCATTGTGGGATCCGCGGTTCGGACATTATCATAACCGCTCAAAATCCACGTTGATTTGCGAACAATACGTCCGTAGAACGTGAAATACGGTTTATTCGTCAACGGTTGTTGAAATCGCGTTCGTGAACCGGTAAACGTACGAAAAGATCTGTCTGTCCCGGGCACAAGATAAAGAAATAGCACTAACGATACACAATGATAATTCTAAAAATATGCGGTTCGTTACGATCGGAAATGTTTAGAAAACAAATGTATAGCCAACGATGCTATTTTTACGGAATTCAATAACGATCGGCAAACCCTTACGGGACGGCTGCAGTTTGTAATCGTTGCCAAAAATCCAAGCCCTACAGGTGTGCATTACGTGTTATTTGTACATTGTGCGCTCTTGGCCGCACCTATACGGGACTGCGGGATATGGAATCCTGCGACGAAAACGGGTATTACGACGGTGCATGACGCCCGGGTAAACGTGTGATTTCGAATTTCGAACGGTTTCCAAAATCGTTATGGCCGCATTCGGATCTACGAGAATCGATTCGGTGCAGATGAATATCGTATGAAAACAAATGAAAAACATCGTAATGAACTGGACGGTACGATTGGACATCATCAAGTTCATGAACGAATCGGTCGTAGAAGGGATTTATAAAATAGCGAAATATCTAAGACGTCTGTCTTGATATTTCGTTTTATACGTTTCGGTCGTATTGTAGCGACCGAAAAACTTTATGTCGCGCAATATCCCCGAAGTTTACGCGCGTACAAAGTTTTTCGTTGTTTTTCGACAACGATAATTATATCTGATAACGCAATTGCGGAAAATGGTTGTAAATTCGTTGCAATAGCTTCACCACGAGCACGTGTGTGCAGTGCAATCTCGGCACGTGTACCAACGAAAATTCGAACAGATAACGAAACCGCCGTCCAGTCGGTTTACATTTATTTTTCCGGCACCGATTTTAAAACTTGCGTACTTCTCTCGGTGCCGCGCACGCTATGATTGCTTACGATAACGATCAACGTTTATCCGGGACGACGCATTACTGCTGATTACGTTTCGGGGTCAGACGGTCGTACGCGGACGACAACCGCGTCATTGTGTTACATACGTTATGGCTGTATCGAACCGGACGAGTGGCGGACTGAATCCGACCGATATCGCCACAATGGAGTTTTTAAAACTAGAATGGAAAAACGCTAGACCGATGCGGTTACGACGTTTTTCGACTTTACCGAATAAACGTTTCCGGAGTTCGTCAGACGCTTCCGTCCGGTGTGTGTGTGTGTGTGTGTGTGTGTGTGTGTGTGTGTGTACAGCGTGTGCCATCGAGCGCAGCAATAATATATAATTTGGTTGTTTGTCCGCACAATCATCGAGGAAAAACGTATCCTCGGAACTGCGTAACATGTTCCCAGAGAGCTTTGTCGTCTCGACCTTTTTTTTCTTATATTTTCGGAAAACGCTAGAACTCCCGATACAGTATTACGGTCAGCGGAGGATTTAAACGTGAACGAGCCGGATTCGAATCTAACACCACACGTTCCGGTAAAATAATAAGATGCGGACGTAAAAAAAAAAATAGTAAGATAATAAATAGATTTAGAAAAACACATTCAAGTAAAAACGTGATGATAAATAGAAAATAAATTATGAAAAATAATACCAATGCAATCGGGTTCACTTACCAACGCATCTGGGGCAGCATTCGCCCGGCAGTATCTGCATGCTGCTGGACGGACACTGGAGCACAGGGCACGCCTTTTTCGAACAGGTGAGCGCCGGGCCGGCCGCGGATCTTTCGCAGTGACAGGTCAGGCACGGGTCGTCGTACAGGCTGACGTTCCTCCAAGCGGCCACTTCTTGTCCGATAACCCGGCAACCTGCGGGACAACGCGAAACCGGTTAGCGAAACTAAAGAGCAATCGCACAGATTTATAATAACCGTTCCCCCACTCCACCATCTCTTTGTGCGCGCACGTGTGACTCCGGGATATCAATAACGGATTTTTTATGATTATTATTGTTGATATTATTTCTACTACAGTAATTGATCGCTAATATTATTACTAATAATAATCGATGGCGTACGACGACGATTCTCGCTGTATCCCGCATTATTGTCCTGCGACAATACGCTGTCGATCGTAAACCCTCGCCCGAAGTTTAACGACCCGTTAATTATTGCCACGGCAAACTCTACCGGGTCCGCACAACATTGGCGTCCGGTTACTACTGATTGAACAACAAATCATTAGTTAAACGTTGTATGACTTACACACACGTTTTCGTTGCATTTTTACGGTAACGCTGACGTGCAAATTAAAAAGATAAAAACTTAAATCGCTGTACCGTTTCGTCAGCATAATCCATCATTTTTTCCCACGTTATTTCAACAGTAAATTATCGACTGTTTTTAACGTGCAAACGGAATCGTCACACACCTGACAGAGTTTACCATCGGAAAAGTTCCGACCGGTTGAACTTAACAGCACCCAACGATATGTCCTTTAGGTTAAACGTTATATTTAAATAATATTATTAAGATAAACGTGTTGTACAGCAGTGTCGACGTATTCACGTTTCGATATAAGATCAGGTGAACCTATGAGAGTGATTTTACAGCAGAAGAAATGCTGTCAAAGTATAACAAAACTATAACATCACACGTCGTCGCCGTAAAAGGAACGGATCGTCTTCGTGGGCTTAGTCAAACGTTTCAAAACCTTACAAAACCGCGATATCCAACGTAACATCGAAAACCACCTCTATACCTCTATAAGATGATACAGTTATCGCACAACAGACCAGTCTCTCTCCTCTCTCTCTCCTTTGGACCAGAGTTTCTTCCTTCGTTGATATGTGTCGCTAGAGCGTACACGAATCGTCGCCATTCGGTCTCCTTGTATAATATGTTTATGATTTTCGGTTGTGTACCGTAGTTTACGCGTATACGAATCCACGGATAACTTAGCATAATAATGTAGCGAATCGTTGAATATTTCCCGGGGTACGGTTGAAACCGCTAACCTTTTCCTTACGGACACGAGCGCTCGATAGCCTGTTGTACACGTTAACGTGAAAACATACAATAAAACACACATACACACACACACACACACACACTGCTCCCATACAAGCATATTACGATTATCGTTAGACGACGACAACATCCTTCGTCCTCGGCGCGTCCTCGATCTGCGGTAGTCCACAGCCGACGTGGTCGGGACGCCCGGGCCAACCACTTCGTTTTCCCGCACGCACGCAGGGAACCCGACCACTATCCGAGGCGTGTTTCAATGTGTGTGGCATCCAGTCTCGGCTGCCATTAGCCTATCTTTGTCCTCTCTCCCACGGCCCGGCCCGGCCTCCACCTACCCGCTAGTGCCTTCTTCTTAATCTTTTATTTGTTTTAGACCCGACCGGCAATAATAAATAATAGCCGCGCACCGGTACCGCCCCCGTCGCGGGATCCGAGTCGCGGACGCGCACGTATGACGAGCATCCACACAATATGGGCATACTAGTTTATAACATATTTTCTTATTATTATCGTATACCTATACGTGCACACGTGTATATATATATATGCGTATGCGTGTATTCGGATACAAAGCCGGAATAAACCCTAAGGGGAAAAAACAAAGAATTATTCGGTTCTCTGCGCGCACCATAATAAATTACGGTCCGAAATATTATATTCTTGTGATACGCGAGCGGTCCATGTAACGCGCGCACCGCTACAAATACTACTCGTATTTTATGTACCGCATACACTTATGCACAGACCTAGGAGGTCCACCGGTGCCGCCGTCGACGAATATGACAAAATAATGAACACACGGTTAGAAATGCGCACACGATTGTATCTTCCGTCCGCCGTTCGGACCCGTGAGAAATATATAAATGTGTATAAATAATAAAAAAATGATTTCTTCCGCTGCCGCCGCGTCCCCTGTGACTCGAGGGTCCGGACGCGGAGTGTTCGACAGAGTTGTTTTTCGACCAATTACCAATAGAGTAACTCGGATATATGGCTTCATTAAATCGGTTAGCCTAGAGGTTTCACATCACTCGAACGTGTCTGTATATATATATAAAAAATTAAAATTTAATCATTCTTTGCTAACGAAAATTCGTCGTGTGTCCTTCGGCTATTTCGTGTGCTTATTCTCGTGTGCCGCGGTAATACTATACGCGAGGTTGAATTTCGGTTAAATTTTCGACGTGCCTAAAAATATGCGAACGTACCCCGCCGACACTATAATGGTAAACACGTTTCACGTTACACGCCGTACGACGTCGTGTCCCGCGATTCAACACCATTTCCGACGAGCGTTTCGAAACTTTTTACGACAATTGTATGATTATAAATTTACCTCGATATCGAAAAATGCGTTGAACGGATTTTAAAAAAAGAAAACCACCTAGCACGCGCCTCAACACACGAACACGTATCTTACGTTACTACCATTCGTTAACTGCAGCAACAGGCGTTATTTCGAAACCAATGAACGCCCGAAAGACGTTTGCAAAACACTGATCCGCCGAATTGTTGAGCGCGGAATTGAAAAAAAACAAAACACTGTACTCGTTCGCGTGATGCCATTATTAAATGCACACGGCGAGTACATGTCTGAGAAAATTTCGCGTCCCGCGAATCGATTATTTAAATAATTCGGCGTCCTTCGCCGCCGTAGTTCAGCGAGACGCGAGTACATGTTGTTGTTGTTATTATTACTTTAACGTGAACTGATATCGATACGCTAACCATAACCGGTAGCTAAGTACCAGAGCAGACCGTTTAACATGTTCATGTTGTGCACAATGTTAGTCGCTGCCGGTGGTCCTGCCATCCATCTCTTTATCCGCTTAGAGTTTTGTGTCTCTACCGGTACGCGCATACTCCTTCTTTTTCCATTCCCTCCTTCCCCCCACCGACGCCTCTGCGTTTTCGTTCGCCATCGTTATTATAATAATATATTATATTATTAAAACGTCTGTCCATTGTTTTTTTTTTTTTTGTATTGTGCACTCAGTGTGTTATTGTTTTATTTTCGACGGCTCTGTTGTATGCGCATACCCGGCGAAAGACGTTAATGCAACGTTGTAGACGCAGGAAAGGAGAGAGAAAGAAGACCGCTGCACCGTATACACAAATTATACACGTATATACAGGCTCATTTCCCACGGGTCACTTAACGGACGGAACACACACGAGCTTGCTCGCTTAGGGATTGAGTACACGAGTCGTGATTTATCAAGGCGAAGATACTACGAAAGGATTTTTGTTTTATTTTCATTTTTTTTTTTTTTTATTATATAAATAATTATACGAAAAGACGAAATTTGATTTCTGAACACTGCTCCCCGTGGATACTCGAAATCGTACTACGAAAACGTGCAGTTTTGGTTTAAACGATCTTTATGGTTTCTAGCAGCAGATTAGTACTCACGTGATGGATTGTAAAAATTGCTTGACACTAAAAAAATATGTAACAGCAGCGGTACAACGGTTAAGGATGCAACTGATCCTCACTTTTACAACGCAATCCTTCGGTAAAACGTTTTCGTTGAATCCGTCGTTCACTGCTGATAGTCGACTTATAGAATCGATGGGAAACCACACGTTACTAATGGACCACATCGAAAGTTAACGGTGCTGCCTATAGGGTTCGCGTTACGAGGAAGTGTTTCGGCGGATGTGATTTATGTGATACATACATCTCACGACGGTTTTGCAGTTTTCCGCTTAGGGAAAACAATGCCTGTACACCGGTTCGAAATCAAGTTTATTTTGTTAAGAGAATAGTTACACCATCTCGAGGAACTAGAACCGGAGGGGAAATTGTCCCCTCATCGGTTACGGTTGGAAATGTGGAGTGCGCGCGCGCGCGCGCGAGAAAGACCTCAACGAACGTAAACAAAGTCACTACTGACCTGGACAAGTGGGACAGCAAGTGCCCGGCTTCGGCGGGTAGGGCTGCTGGCACGGCGTGATGCACTGCATCCGGGTCTCCGTGACTACGCCAGCCTTGCACGACATCACCTGGCACGGGTCGTCCGGGTCTGTCCACTCCGTACCACTGTCCCTTAGAACGCCTTTGTACACGCAACCTGTGCAATCAGTGTCGTAGCAATGAGAGTTATGTAAATCAGCGGTGCAACAAGGATTCGTGTTTTCCTAATGGGGGGGAGGAAGAGGGGCGTTTGAAATTTCGATTGGTCGTTTTCCTTGAACAGTAATTATTTTTTAAGTCATTAGTTAGATTAACAGATTACAGATCTACTGGGCTACAACTCGTTTGTACACATTTAACTTTTATACAACTCGTTTACGCAAAAATACACAACTCGATTGCGCACATATATTTTGGCTACCTATGACAAAAATCCCTAGTGCCAGAACTCGTTTGCTTATAATCGTTTATTAATAATAACACTCACAGGACATTTTTTATTAGTGCATCTAAAATTTAAACATTAAAATATTAAAACACGGCATTCACTAAATTTATAATTATCAATATTAAAACATCGTTTTCCTCACCGATATTCAAAAGTATTAGGGATTTCTACGCCATATTAAAGTTTACGTCGTCAACACACTAGTCACCACTGTACCGTCCATATCCATGGTCCATAGCTACTGAAACTTTACTAAAAGTTGTTTGGGAAATCCAAATTTATATAATCTACAGTCTACACTGTCGATTATAAGATAATATTGAGATAATATATTTGATAATTTGTACTGCAGTCTGTGACGATATATGTAGACACGTGTCATGTTTTGAATGTGTCGTTGTGCGCAAACGAGTTATCTATTTTCAGGTAAAAAATTTTGAATGTGCGGAAACGAGTTAGCGATCTGCTGATTTTAAAATATAAAAACCATTAATTTAGAAAAAAAACTCAATCAAAAATACACTGCAGGTACAACTTATACAGTGTTCTAAGCCATAAATCCGAGGGTTTGATGAGGAGGGGATGGGATTCATAAACAAACGGTGTACGAAAACATGTCAATGGACTTTCCCAAAAATATGTACTACGCACTGGGTGCGATTTTATTCCTGTATCCGTCGGACTGTGATTGAAAATTGAAACCGATCGAATAATTTTGCGGACCGTTAGGTATATATATATATAAACACGAAAGAGTTGCGTTCGAAGTTCCAGAATCCAATTGTTTGTGAGAATCTAGGTTTGGTCCGATTAAATAATATGTAGAAGTATGAAACGAAAAAATCATAAATACAACGTGTACGCTATTTGCGTTACAACGTTTACGTATAAATATTTATACCTTTACACCGTCGGCAGCATCCTTTCGGGTCCACGAAAACGTCTTGCAGCATGTAGCAACCCTGTTCGTCGGGGCACTGGTCCTTGACGCACTCCACGAATCCGTTCTGAAAACCAGTAACAAACGTTTTTGTAGCGTTTCCTTAGCGCACACGCGGTCGAGAAAATTAAGAAATTATATCGCGCACGCAGCCGTCACCGCGACCTTATAAATATACCAAATACCGTTTCGCACGTACGCGCCTCTACGCGCAGACCGACCAACACACAAGCGTATAAGATTTATACGTATACCCGTACGATAATTATACGGAAAAATGTACGATACGGATCTGTCGGAATTCGTTTCTGACGCCGCCACGCGACCTTCCTGCACCGACGGCATTCGATTTATTTATTTGTTTTCGTTGTTTTATTATTATTTAATTTTTTTTTTTTTTTTACTTCTCTTCGTCGCGGCAGCCACGGGGCGGCGGCCGGTCGGAAAACAATCCGAAGTGCGCGCGGCGCGTAATTGATCGATCGCTCGCGGTTTACGCGCAATCGGCAATTACGGTCACCGAATGATTTACGAGACGGCTGTTGTTGACGCGCGCGCGTAAGAGCGTTTTTACGCGTAACCGTCGTCGTGCACGTCGTCGTCGCCGCAACGATGACCCGCGCGCGAGAAGTTAACGCGTTTCCATCGGGGCACGGGGCGCGACGAACGCGAGGAATCCGTATTGTACATCGTTTGTCGAGCCGAGAGGCGCAGGGACATCGCGGGACACCGGCGAACGTTCCCGAACGGTCGGGAAAAATCATCGCAGGAATATTTTTTAAAATTATTTTTAAGAATTATTATTGTTTTGACAGTAGGTACGAGAAACGATTTTGTTCTTCCGTCCATAAAATATTTGTGATTGAAAATATTTTTTCTGTTACTGCATTAGTTAGTCTGCAATGGTACAGTGAACGTACGTCAATCCCCTTAGGCATTAAAAAAAAAAAAAAAAAAAAAAAAAAAACAATAAAAGTAACTACACTAACGACTCACAACAATTTAAATAAAAATAAGTGATACACAGTGGTTATAACATTAATAACACAAGATCGTTGCAATGTACGCACGTTACCACACGACTATATTCGATTTTTCGAGTAAATGCATCATTATATCTAATATCGTTGATTTTGTACTGTATATCGGTAAACTATTCGTATTTAATATCGATTTCGTTAGAAGTCCCGCACATGAGTTCGCAGTACATATGACATGTTTTATTATTTTTTTTTTTTATTTTACTCTTGGTTTACAATTTTTACGGAAGTAACGGAATTGAAACGGGACCCTATTCTAAAAACGGGACAAAAAACGTCCCGTTCAAAGTTTGTCCGAACAACGGGACATAATGACTAAAAAATGGACGATTCCGTTTTAAACGGTACATATGGTCACCCTATTCTACGGAGGAGCCGTTTGCGTAAAACGCTTCTTCTGGCCAGTCCCAGGGGCATATTTTAGGGGAGTACGAAGTACGGGCGATCATTCCCCCCCTTAATCCGTATTTAAGGAATCGATTATACGAGTATGTAAGATACACATTACAAGTTTTTTTAATACGGATAATTTTATAACGAAATCAAATTACGCGTGGCTGTGAACGCTGAATTGGGCTTTTTGTCAGGTCCATACTTAGTGAAAAATCAAATAAAACACAAGCGCAACTTTCAAAACACAGACAGGTGCTAAAAAGGAATTACACAAAAGTCGATTCTAAGTTGATCCGACATTAGATTAAAAAAAAAAAAAAAGAAACCACGAATATTAAGGATTCACCAGATTTACCAACATCTGACTTGTAAATGTTGTGCGTGAATCGAAGAAATAATTTGAGTCGCCCCCCCCCCTCCCCATAGAAGTGAGTCTAAATACGCCCCTGGCCGGTGCCCGGTGACGCGTGCGACCGAGTACGCGTCGACGCGACCTTTCAAGCCGGTCGGTAACGATTGGATCGCCGACCGCGCGTGTCCGTTGTTCGCATCATAGTTGCAGCGCGTTCGGAGAGTGTACGTAATACGCGCCGCGCGTGCGCGTACACGAACAGAGAGTACACATGTGCTCCGGACAAAATATTATACGTGTGAACAACGCGCGCACGGCAGTCGCATTTACACGGCATTACGTTTGTTAACCGAATTTAGATAGGTCTTTTCGGGATAAGTCGCCTAGGAGGGGCTCGACCTTCCGTCGAGAGCGAAACGTTCCCGTCCTTGTGCGCGGCGGACGCGCGCGTGAACTCGAACGGGGTCCGGTGAGGTGAAAGGACTCGTTCGCACGCGCGTTTCCGACGGGTCGCCCCAGAAACGTTTCGGCGCCATCGATCGTCGTGATCGCGGTGCACTGCTCGAGCTAAACGCGTTCGCGTTGCAGTCGCGCGACCGATCAACGTACCGAATGCGCGTACCCGGTACGCTCGTAGCCGGAAACGCGTTGCGAAGGTGTACGCGCGAAGGTACGCGAACGGTTTGCAGAAACCGCCTTTTCGCCGCCCGCGCGGGCCAAAACGTGTGATATCATCATATAAATCGGTGTTTCGGTCGAACGCACGAGACCGACGATTTCGAGGCGGACACGTAATATCGGCGGAGAGCCGGTAGGAGCGACGCCCACAAAGTTATATTTGTACGGTGTACACCATTTTATCGCACATTGTTTAAGACGTAATCATTACGAAGACAGTAAATCGTTCCCTCACCCCCCCCCCCCCCCAAAAAAAAAAAAAAAAGATTATCTATTTACGTATCCGTTTCGATAAAAGAGCCTCTGTGCAGCTTTGGTCCCGCAACATCCCTAAAAGCGTGTGGAACGCGTGTATCACGTGTGATTATTGTGTACATGTAACACACGTCAGCGAACACGTAACGTTACTTCATTGACTCCCTTTCCGGACACCAATAACCGATAGTAGGTACGTACCGATAATTAATCGATCCCGCCGTATCTCCATCGAAGTATGATAATCACCGATAAAATATACGGTCGTACTTTCTACACGTGGCGAGTGAAGGTTAGTCTTACCGAATTTTTCTCTTATATTCAGGTCCTTCTACTTTTGATCGCGCTATTCGGGTCAACATTTTGAAATAAACGGTTTTTTTTTTTTTTTAAATTTATACCATGCGCAGTATAACCGTTGCCTATTAACTTATGCCATCACGTCATGCACTTAATTTATCACTTGTTACAATGCACTTGACACACGATTGTAATTTATTGTTTAATTAAATTTGTTTTATGGTCAACCGTAAAGACATCGCAGAGCCTGTAAGGCTCATACTATAAGCCTTATATTATAAGGCGTGAAGTGCGACGCCGGTGTACGTATTACGTCTACGGCGGTGGCGCGAGGACAAAAACGTCGGTGTTCCGGTGGGAGGGGCAAAGGGAGGGAGGCACGGTATCGGTAGGACCAGGATTTTAATTTTAATTTTTTCGCCATCGGTACGAAGCACGAAAGTTTCTCTCTCAACGTAGAGCCGACGAACTGAAAGACTTGAACGCAAACACGTTGTTACGTTGTTCGTGTCGCGTTATAAACGATCGCACCCCACCCACCCGTTCGCAGGCGAAGCCACCACCGCTGCACCTATACTTATTTTTAGGAATACACCTTAGCCTGCACCCGTCTCTCTTCGGGCATTCGAGTCTTGGCGCCGGGGTTACGCGCGTAACATTTATCGTTACTGTTATTACGTCTCATATCGGCGACAACCTTTCGCCGTGCGTAACCGCGGTAGCGTACTGTTGAAAAATTCGTTTCCGTTGTGTTTCGTAATCGGCTCGACGCATCGCGTCCATGGGCGGTGGTCGCGCGGGCGGAGCGCGTTGGGTTTGACGAAGAAATAATTCCGGTTCATACACGTCTCGGACGTCCGACGATAACGATCGTACACGACCGCGACGACGAGAGGCGAAACAAGGCGCATAATACGATATGTACACTATTAAACCATGTGCAGCGCGCGCGTACGGTTCCGATCCGAGAAATTCGGTCGGACGACAAAAATGCGGTCGCTCGCAGATCGAAAATCGCGCCGATCTGGTCTCGACCGATAAATCGTACGGCAGGTCGGCAGTTTCGGCTTATTCGCGGAACAACCGCATAGGTATTGCAGTGTCGACCGATGATCGGTAACCGATCGCACGTCCAAACGTTCGGTTTTCGGGTGGACTGTTGCGCGCGCGCGACCACCGCGATTCGACGACCGCCAGCGAAGTAATCGATCTTTGCGGTCGAAATCGCTCGGATTCTTTACCGTTCGTCGCACGCGAGTGCGTTTCGAAAAATTAGCCGGTCAAAGCGAGAACGTTTGAATCGGTCGATGTGCAACAACGGATTTCGCGCGTTCGGATCGCTTTCAGTCGGTGTAAATATTTTTATTTATTTTGCAAAACCATAACGCGTGTGTTGCACAGGAAAAGATCACTGATCGTAAGTCGACGTAATAATGTTCAATCGGTTGGAGCGCGGACGGGACGCGTATCACGTCTAGAGAGAGAGAGAGAGAGAAAGAGAGATAAGAGTGAGAAGACCACCGTCGCTCGAAGGTTTTGATGCGACTGCGACGGGTCACGGGTGGGCCGCTGGAGGGGAGTGCACACGCTTGCCTGTACGCGTTTTATTCCTTTCCACCAAACTGGTTATCCGCGCACGCTCAAATTTCTACCACGCGTGAGGTTCATCGTCTTCGTCGAGTCGGGAAGTTAATTTTTTTATTTATTTAGTTTTTATTTTTATTTTTTTATTTTTTACGGAACATTCGAAACCCGTTCGACGCGCGGATTTCCCCGGATTTTCTCCTCGTCGTCAGCCTGAAAGTGTACGCGCCGAAGTCACAAAACTCTCCCGATTTTTAACACGAGTACATTCCACCGATGGTAAGTGGATGCTCTTCCGGGTCTACTTCGGTACTACTTGAAAGGATCGTAATTGATAATTGTACAATAATTTATATCGCGCAGATCATGGATTATACAGAAATAATGGAATTCAAAGTTATTAAAATTAGATTAAAACGTCTACCTACGTGAATGCGTGCGATTCGTCTGACCTGTCGTCGAAAA